GTGTCTATTGCCACCATAGCATACCATGTAACTGTCCTGATATGCGTTCAATCAGCATTGACATTGCATTTAATTGTCTTTATTTCAGTACAATGGTATTAATTTACGCTGTGCAACATACGGCCAAGCAGCAAACATACTACGCTTGGGCGGAGATAGTATCAATATCTTAGCACAGTATAACCCAAAAAGTAAGTCTCATCTTTATTCTCAGTGTCAGTAAGAACACATAATCTTAAAATAAAAAGAAAATATTATATGCTAGAATGGAAAAATCTGGGTTTGGTCATCGAACTGACCTAACTAGGTGAAAAAAAAGCATTATCTTCTTTGTTGAAATGTCTACAAACTGGCTCGGATACTATGGAAAACGTTGGCATTCAAGATGACTGTTTTTTTCCTCATGAACTCAAGATCTTATACCTAGAACACACCATATGTGGCCAATATTGATTATTCTACACTCATTTCAGAAATGGAAGATGATACAGATTCCAGCTGTTCTAGCGTGAATTCCACACTAACACCAACCCCACAAAGTACAGCAACCAATTCACCGACTACAAGTCACTCACAAATGGACATGTCATTCATGTCAGAAACAGGAACAATGACGCCTCCGACTCCGCGAGCAAGCATTTGTTCAAGGTACAATTAAATTTCATGTACTCCACTCTGATTATGTAGTTGCCAATGATGAATAATTTGCGCTTCTGGGTTCCGTGCAGCGATACAACATGTACAATTCATCGTTGATGTGCTCAATCAGTATGAAAGCGAGGTCGCCCTGGAATAAAAGCAAATTGTTGTTGATTGCAAGCTTCATACTACATATAGAATATCAATTCTTGTCAAAAGAAACATATTTAGGTTAAACTACCATGTATGCTTTCCAAGAGTTGTTCTTCTAATATAGTCATAAGGTGGAATGATACAAAGTTATGTGAGAAGTTAACAAACTCACAGTATCATTGGTGCATACATTAAAACCTACACTGATACATGGGGATGATACTATCTGAACTCCTTATTTAGTAATTCAAATTCCTTATAAGGTAGTATCATTATCCCTGCAGTGTGCAAGTTGAATTTAATATAATATGTTGTTGTTTTATTTCAGTGCCCGTAGTCATGATCAGGATATGATGTCAAGTGGAATGTCATTATGTGAACCGCCGCGATTTGTGATGCTCCAGAAGATTAATCGAAG